GCCACACCCAACATCAATGAGGTACTAAAGTACACCCTGTCCTCAATGGGAGGAAAGGGGACTGAATATTTTCTGAACAATAATCCAAACTGTCACACCTGCTAGTTCATAACAAATTGTAAATTTTCATGTTAAGGAATAATAATCTCAATTAACAACTAACATGTTCTATTTTATCCATGTTTATTAATATTGTATTTAGCAGAAATTTTGAATATGAGGGATTTAAAATCTACATATATTAATAATAACAATACATAGTAAATAATAATCTCTATATAATATGGGATTGCAAAAATAAATGTTTTCATATCTTTTCAAATGTATGACAACAGATTAGGCATTTTTCACTGAATTTAAAAAATTTAAATGTTATTATAAAGCAATCACAATTTCTTTTTTAAAGATTAGTTCCTGAGGTGCTAAGTTTATGCTCTTAATCACTTCTTTTGATATTGCCAGAAAAATCAAGCCAGAGTTCATTTCTATTGTAATTAAATAAAACATAACATTGGTACTCCAAACATATAAGTGACTTTTTAACATCCTTATAACATTAAGTGGAGTCACTATAATTCCCTACTACCTTGCCTAAGTGTGAAACCTTTAATTACAATAGTTTCCCATTCTCTAGATTATCTTTAAAGAAACATTTTATTGGAAAACACAACAAATATGTAGTAAAGTGTACAAACATATAGAGACAGGATAACAGTTATACCATGAACACCCATATAACCACAACCTAGGTCACAAAATAGGGTACCTACTACTGTCGCATGTGTCCCTTCCTGATCAAAGCCCCCTTCATCACTGCCCCTTCATCACTACTCACACTTCTGTATTTCAAGGTAACTGCTTTCTTGATTTTTCTTTACAGGTACACCACTATGTATCAATCCCTAAACAATAAAATTTAGTAATGATTCTTTTGAACTTTATATAAATGGAATGACATAGCATGCATTCTTTTAGGTTTTGTTTTTCCACACGGTATTATATTTTTAAGTTTCATCAATGCTCTTGTGTACAGTTGTAGTTAATTCATTGTCATTACAGTAATATATGACATTGGTTGACTATACGTGATTTGTTTACCTTTTCTACTATTGGTAAGCATTCAGTTTATTTTTAGTTTGGGCTATAACAAACAGTGCTTCTCTGAGCATTCTTGTGTATCTCTCCTATTTTCATATTTCCTCCAGTATGTAGCAACATTACTCTTTCAGGTGGTTAGCTTGTGATCACTTTTCCATTCTAAAACTTGCAAAAAATTACTCTGTCTCCATCAAATATGAAGCAAAAATCTAAATTTCACTTAATTATTTCACAGATTTATATCAAGTGTTTATTATGAGGCCTAATGGCATTGTAGTAGGTTGAAGGGATTATAGTAATGAATACATCAATCCAACCATCAAAATGGTTATAGACTAGTAAGGAGAAATATTCATAAGAATAATTATAATAACATTTGGAAATAACTAAGTTTAATAGAGAGGTACATATAAAATACAACAGGAGTCTAAAAGAGGGAATGACTCCTTTATAGTGGGAGGAATGAAGGAAGGCCTTGGAGACGACATCAAATTTGAAGTTTGGTAGGAATTTGATTTGTATAGATGGGTAAAAGGACATTCCATGACAGAGAGATTAGTAAAAAGACAGAGGTAAGGCAGCCAGGCACTTGTATAGGAAACCTATAATATAATAATTCAACTTGTCCAGTGCATAGGAGAATTAAGAATTGTTTTTTTCGTTCATTATTTAATATAAGGAACACAGAGTGTGAAGAGACTTTTAAGAGACAGTGAGTGAGAGAAAGGTACGTTGCGCCAAGATTTGAAAGACTTTAAATACAGAGACATTCCTTCCCAGATGATGTGAACCCCTTGAGGTTAGGGACCATGTCTTCTTCAACTCTGTAGCAGACACAGCATAGTATCTGATATGTAGTTGATGCTCAAAACATTTGAATTGACTTGAGTGCAGATTTTATTTTGCAGCTAACAGAAGCCACTGAAAACTTGTGGGTGCGGGGATGGGGCGCAGTCAGGTAAATTAGAATATGACCTAGTTAGTGTTAGTAAGAAAAGTATGTAGCAAATGCTTCTACGGCAGATGCCTGATGTCCTGGAAGACTGAATTCCATCTGTGCATTCAGAAAGCCTTCCCAGATGAAGAGGGTAAAAACAATTATATTCTGAAAGTACAGTAAGAGAGAAAAATATTTCCTAAACATACTTGATGATAAGAGTGAATGTGAGGGCTCTTGTTAAAAATATAGCTTCCCAGGATCATCCCAGATCCTCTAAATCAGACCCAGGGAATGGTATGGGCAGCTGTATTCATTAGCAAGCAATCCACCTGGTTCTTATTTTCAAGAACATTTGAGAAACCCTGGTATAGAAAACCTCCTACGGAAAGGGAAAGGCATGTGCAAAGGTATGGATGTGTTAAAGAACCAGAAGATATATTCAGGAAATGGTTGGAGAGCAGGGAGTTTGTAGGAAAGTGGTTATTGCTGAGGCTGGAGAGAGGGATTAAGGTCCAACTGTGAAAAGCTTTATTGAGCAAGCTAAGGAATCTTGTGAAAAATAGGGAAACCATTTAGGCCAAGAAGTGAGTTTTTGGGGGGAAAGCTAACCATAGAAATTGAAGAATACGATTTCTGAGGTAGAATTGATAATTTAATGGCTACTTCCATGAGAGAAGTAGAGAATAAATCCAAGGTTGATTAGATGAATGAAACAAGTCTGTGGCAGACTGCCTGTGCTGGGGGAGGGAGGGTGGTGGTGGGGGTGATATGGTAGGGAAGCATTTCCTATTGGACTAAAGTTTTTGTTTTTTTGGTTCTTCTTGAGACAGAGTCTAGCTCTGTTGCCCAGGCTAGAGTGCCGTGGCGTCAGCCTAGCTCACAGCAACCTTGAACTCCTGGGCTCAAGCAATCCTACTGCCTCAGCCTCCCGAGTAGCTGGGACTACAGGCTGGACTTAAGTTTTACATGACAAATGACACCATGTGGATACAGCTATCAGATAGTTTGAAATAGAGACCTCATGTTTGGGAGAATGTCCTCAGGGCTAAGAATATGGGTATAGGAGGCTTTGATGTTGAAGCCATAGGAATTTTACTTGTATGAGGACGTAAACTGATAAATGGACCAAGACAAAATCATGGGGAAATGGATGCATTGAAGTAGCACACAGAGGAGAAATCAGCAAAGGAGACTACAGATGGGGAAGCTAGCAAGAGCAATGCTGGCTACTCTAATCATCTGATGCTCCATGAGGTCTCCAAGAACTGAAAAAATAAAAACAATTCCATTGTGATTGAACTGATAAAATATATATTTGCCACCTATCTATTAATAGAACACCTAGTAAAATTCTAGAAAACCTGCCATTGATTGACCTGCTCAGCTAAAATAAACATACAAAACCCAGACAGGCCATTTATCCTTAGATTCAAGAATACCAGAGTCTTTAGTACATAGATTTTTGTCCTGGCTCTTCATTTGAGCTAATCATTTAACTATCTTAAAAGAAAATATAAGTTCTGATCTTAAGAAAAGCTAAGGAGGCTGGAATACCTAGATGACATCTTACTTAGGTTGCTTCCAGTTCAAAATCTAAAGTCTCTCCAGAAAACCCTGCAATTCTGAGATGGAAATCTTAAATAGATTTACTCAAGAGCAAATCCTGAAGTAATAATTTGTTTCCCAGTCCCACCCTTTCCCCTTCTTCAATAAATATTGATTTAAGATTCTCTGAAGTTATATAAAAGGCATTGGATACTTTTCTAGTTCCTGTCATGAGTACAGCTGATTGTCACTCATCCTCTCTGACTGGTGTCTGGCTTCACATCAGTGGAATGGCATTCATTGGTACTCCACCTAGAAAAAGCCTCTCCTTCAGTACCTTCCAAGTGGCTCACCAAGCACGTGATACTTCTTTACATCCCAGTGCAATCCCCACAAGCCTTCTTCAGGTAGTTGTGTTAAATGAGTCTGGGCTCTCTAACTGGAGAACCCTATGTGGTTCAGCACACACTGGAGACCTCAAGAATTAGATTTCTTTTTCCCTACTAGAATCAAAAAAAAAATAAAAAGTAAAAAAACAAAAAAGAGAAAACGAAACCTTTACTCTTTAAAAAGCCTAATGACTCCCTTGCTAGGGGCATTCACTTTATACTATATAGTAATACTGGTTTGGGATGAATCAGGAATTGAATAACCAATGTTCGTCTCCTTCACTTGATTCTTGCAATGCTTTGTGCCAGGCATTGTGCTGGTTCCTGGGGTTATATTAATTAAAAAACAAAAAACTAAAAAACAATCCTTGTGAGGCCCTTGCCGATTTTCTTTTCTTTTTTTTTTTTTTTTTGAGACAGAGTCCCACTGTGTTGCCTGGGCTAGAGTGCCGTGGCATCAGCCTAGCTCACAGCCTCAAACTTCTGGGCTCAAGCAATCCTCCTGCCTCAGCCTCCCGAGTAGCTGGGACTACAGGCATGTGCCACCATGCCCGGCTAATTTTTTCTATGTATTTTTAGTTGTCCAATTAATTTCTTTCTAATTTTAGTAGAGATGGGGTCTCGCTCTTGCTCAGGCTGGTTTCCAACTCCTGAGCTCAAACAATCCGCCCGCCTCGGCCTCCCAGAGAGCTAGGATTACAGACGTGAGCCACCGCGCCCGGCCCCTTGCCGATTTTCGTGGTTGCTCAAAGGGACCGCGGCATGCAATCTTCCAGAAAAGTAGTTGGGTATTTCTTTAAGGATGAGGCGAGAGGCCTTCCGCTTGGGAGAAAAACACTCACAGACAACTCCCTTTCTTTGGGCGGGTAAGCTAACCCCCGACATCGCTTCTACTGCGTCCGGGACTCCGCGAACACCCAGCTTCCGATCTTCGCCCCCACCTGCAGGCTCCGCCCCCGGGTCCGCCACGCTCCCAGCAGGCTCTGCGCGCGCGCCATTGCCCCGCCCCCTCAGGCTCGGTACCGCCCCTTGGGGCGCTGGAGAGATGGCGGAGTTGGACGTCGGGCAGCACTGCCAGGTGGAGCACTGTCGGCAGCGAGGTGATCGGGGAGTCCCCATGCCCGGCTGTGGGAGACCTGGGCCCCGCTTTGACTCCGTGGATGGTGGCGGCGGGTGAGGGGTCTGAGGAGCCGGGCGGGCGCATTTCTTCTGGGTCTGCAGTGAGATGTGTTGGTGCTTTTTCTTTTGCCCTTGAGTCTTTGAAGAGACTTGTGGTGAAAAAGTTCACGTTGATTTTCGAGGGCGCGGTGCGGTAGAAGTGCACGGAGCACACCACTGGATCACTTGGAGCACACTCCTTTCTGATGAGCACAGGGAGGGAGGACGCTTAGGTCTGGGAGAGTTCCCCTCTGGATTTGCCACTGCTACCTTGGAAAAGCCACTTCCCCAAGCTTTTTGTTTACCTGTCTGTTTCTTATCTGCGAGATGAAGGAGTTGGGCGAGATACGTTTTTAAACCTGGTGTTCACGGGCTCCTCAGTAGGTGAGCCTCTGTGAGAAGGCCCTTAGCTTTGATCAGATTCTCAAAGGGATCCTGATCCTCAGTCTGTTTCATCAGATGATCGTTTTGCTCTCCCAGCTCGGTCTTTCTGTGATTCTGATTATCATTGTTGAATAAACATTTATATATCACTGATTTGGGTGCTGGAACCACATAAGGATATAAACTACAGTGTTTTACACAGAAGACCTTTCAGACTAGTAAACTGCATTTTAGAGAGCATCAATAATAACAGACGATGGTCTCTCTCCATTTAACTGAGAGACCTTGAAATAAACATAGCCTGAAGTAATGTAATGTGGCACAGGCTTCTGGATAACATACACCTAGAACAGGCAAGTTTTTGAAGCATTAGAGCCACACAGATTGCTCAGTCTTTGGTACCTGGGTTTCATGCCAAATGTGTGCCATCACATTTGGCACGTACTATATAAGGTGGCAAACAGATTTTATCTTCCACTGCAGCTTCAGTCATTAGTAGTAAGTGCCTGAATCACTGCGTTGATAAGAACTCTGAGGTTTAACTCAGTTTCAGTGGAGTGCCATGTTGATTAGTGATGTCTGCTGTGGTCCAGGACAGGCAACAATCCTTGCTAGGTTCTTGTTACTTGTAGCACTGTGTATATGTGTCTTTCACCACTGGCTGTGATCATCAGCCACTCAGCAGGTAAGAACCTGTTTGTGTGCAGTCCTTTCATGTGAAAGCTTAGTTGTTTGTGTTTTGACTGTAAGTTATGTGTATCTGGTATGCCTGATTGATTCCCCCTAGTGAATCCAGTACACATCTACTATCTGTGACATAGTTCATCATCCTTTCCAACTTCATGTACCTTTAGTGTCAATAACTGAGATGAGGCAAAGACCTATCTCTTTTGGACTAGTGGGAAGTGGTTAAGATTTAGAGTATGTTAAGTGGGTATCTTAAATTTCATCTAGCTTCTGGACAGATAGAAGGATGGTATCAGGTGCTGGGAAATTATCTTGATCTTAACTCTTCCCTCTGGGTCCTCCTGGTTTGCATCTAATACTTACTTGCTTACCAAAAGTCTCAAAACAGCAAAGATGTACATTTTTTCCATATTAAAAAAAGACAAAAATTTTGCAAAATGCAATATTGTATGCTTCAGTTTCTTTTCTCTTGTTAACAAATCTATCCATAATTTCTTGGTGGGAAAGAAGCTCTTAGTATCATGCTTTAGTAATAGCAGTGACAGTTCATCATGCCACTTCTTAGGTGACGAAGGAACTATTCTGGCCCTCTTGTTCCACAGGCATAATTATCCAGAGGTCCCTTTTGGTTACAACAGGACCTCCTCTTTCTGTTTGGGTTAAGATACTTGTGAAATGAGATCTTTTTGAGGCAGTTGTAGATTTCTCTAAAGTGGGACTGAACAGTACCCTCTGCTTTTCATTTTGTAAAAGTAGTGTAATTGGGTATTTCCAGCTTCTCTTGGCTGTATACTATAATTTAAAATGAGGTGTATTGAAAACGACTTAGAGAATGATTGTATGTAGTGAGCAATGGTTAGTTGCCACATCTAAGAATAGATACTTTTATGTGCTTTTCAAAAGTTCAGTTCCTAACTTAATTTTTACTTAGTTACTTGGTCCTAACTCAGGTATTCCTCAACAGCAAGGAAAAAAAAAATTCAGCAGTTAATTTTGAAATATCAATCAATTTATTTAATTTCCAGAATCTCTTTGAAAGCATCTCTACCCAGTCACTACAGTATTTGTCTGAGTTGAGCATACTCGAAAGAAGTTAATTGCTGTGTTATTTTTATTAATTATAGTTACTATCTTAACTATTCTGATTATATATATATATATATCTCACTTGGTTTTTACAATTACCCTATCAGGTAGGTGTGGCATACAGCATAGATACAGATACAGGTCTATTCACACATGCATTCGGACATATATACACAGAAACTATATGCTTATACCTGTCTCAGTTTCTGCATGTATATATTTATCTCTATATCTACCTGTCTATATCTTTCTATTTTTATTACCCAATAATAGAATTTTGGTTTTGTATATGTATATTTATATACATATATAAACGTGTACACTATATACTATACTACATACTATATCAAATATATATATCCAAAGCTTTGCTATTAAGTAACTTGCCTAGCATTGCTAGATTGGTAAACAGTGGAATTGAAACGCAGGTTTTTTACTCTAAACGCAGAATTTTTGCAGTATACAGATGTCAAAAACAACACCTAATAAATCTGGGAAACAAAACAAAAAAGGGGAGAAAAAAAGCTAGAACTTCTTTTTTTGTGAGTTAGCAATGCAAATACAAGTAACATCTATATCCTGGTAATCTAATTACTTTCAGCGTTATTGAGGTGATGGTGACTTTTGTTTAACAGTGGTTATGTAGTGGCTTGCTATGCTAGGATATTAGTTAAAAAGGGAAGTTCTCCTGTAGAGGTGGTCCAATACTTTAAGATTATTTTTGCTTAAAAAAACTAAATCAAAATTAGATACTGACTGGTACATACATTTTTCCTCAATTTTAGATTTTCTTCCATTTATTTGTGATGGTTGTTCAGGAATATTTTGGTAAGTTAAGATTTTATACAGGATTTGGGAGTAATTTTGGTGTTTGTAATATGGGGTTTATTTCTGAAAAGTAAAATGATTTAAAATAGTTGTTACTTTAGCCATTGATATTTGATATTCAGTATAGCAATTACTTGGGGAAAAAAAGAAACAGATTAGCCATAGGCTCTGATAACTTAATTCACATAAGTGACTAATCTTTAAGCTTCCAGAAATGGGGTCATGTGTGTAAATTTATGTAAAAGTTGTATTTTTAATTACAAGGAGAAAATAATATCCACAATATAAAGAATATGATTTTTTAAAGCCCAGCTATGACTATTGCTCTTTATTTTAATTAAAAGTAATGCATATTTCTAAATCATTCAGAATTAAAGCACTCCTTTCACATTTAACTACTGATGATCTTTTAGAAATAAAAGAAATGCAAAGATTTGTTTGTATTTTCATAAAGATAAATTAGCATGGTAAATTGCTTTTACTCATATTGAAACTGAACATTTGTTTTAAAACTTTTGAGACTAGATGCTCCATCTTTACCTGACATTTCAGTTTTTTCATCTATGCAAAGTTCTTAATGTATTGTGAGTATAATGTATCTTAAGAATACTAAACATTAAAATATCTCATAGTACTACAGTTATCTTTAAGTATGTTATTTGATTGCATGTAAATGAATGCTATTTTTTTAAATTATTTAAGCCTTGAACACAGAAGCAGGGAGTCTCACGGTTGTCCTGAGGTATGTTAATATTTTTTAATGTGATAAAACATAGTTGTATTCATGTACTTTCATACAGAATTTGATTAGATTGAAAGCCAGTCAGTGCACCAGAGGTTAAAGTTTGGCATACTAAACTGTTAATATAAAGAGGCTTTTGTTTCATTTATATTATTTTTCACTGTCTTAAAGAAAAATTTATCTACATGGTTTTTAAAATTTTTTATCCTCATAATTCTTATTCCTTAACATTTCTATTTAGGTGGCCCATTTACAGCAGGCTATATATTTATAAATATACATTGGAATTAATGTCCTCACCATATACTCCCTCCAGTTCACTGTTTCCTTCACTGTTGAATTCATTTTCACTGGTGCCTGGTGATAGGATCTGTGGTAGTAAATCATTCTAGTTCAGTCAGCCTTAGACCACCAGGAACAAACCTGTAGTCTGACAAAATTCCCACCCTAATTCTGAACAAATCATAGATTTGGCACATAGAAGCCAAAACACCACCCTATTACGTACGATAAAGAATAAGTTGAATGATGAGGCTTAGTGTAGAGCGAAATGGGTCCGCAAAGGAAATTCAGGATTGGGCAGACTTGCCCACCAGTCACAGCAGTACTGACCAGGTTAGGCTTTCTGCCTGAAGGCAGTTCAATTCCAAGAGGAAAAAGAAAGTGGAATTCCCCATGCCTGATGTAATTTTCTTAAATTTGACAACCAAATAAGTTGTTCCACCTCTCCTGGGGCAGAGAGAGGCAGGGAGTTAAACTGAATTCACTCCAGTGGGAAAGAAGCATTTGCCTCTAAAACTTTTCAGTGGATATTTATTCCTGCCCACCATTTACCAAGCACTCTGCCAAGGATTTTCACATCTTTTCTCTCATTTATTGAAAATTAAGGTTCCATGAGCTTCAGTTGAAATCTGACCCTTTTTAAGTGTAAGTTATCAGTCAAAATCTGACCCTTTGAAGTTTATGTGATCTATCTGAGGAAAATTAAAATTACCTAATATGTTGGTTTTATGCAGGATTAATTAGAAGAAAATACTCAGAGTTGTATAGTAAAACTTACTGATGTTTCTCATAGCTTATAAATCTGTCTTGTGCTTTCTTTTTTCTTATGATATCATTTGATTTCTATGAATGTCTCTTAGATTACTACCTCTTATTAATAAAACACTGAAATACCATTAGACCATTGCAACAAATTTGGAAGGATACTTAAGTTAATTCTAACAAGATATAACTATCATTTATAAAGGAATGCCTTTTGGTTAGAGTTTTCAAGCAATTATCTCTCTAAGTTTATTCAACTACTTACTTAATGCTCAGAATAGCCTGACTGATCTAAATTTTTTTTTAATCCTATAAAATCTTCTCTTCCTGGGATGGAATACTTGCTGGTAATGAAATATGAAACAGAGCATAGAGAAAGATATGTGATTATGAAAACTGTCTTTAACCCTTTATCTCATGGATAAATATATAATTTTTAAGTGTTTTATTCCCTGAGTTAATGTTTAATCTCCTAAAATCAGTATAGAAAGTAGATGTGACTTGTCATTTGAGGGTTGATATAGGCTGGGTGTGGTGGGTCACGCCGGTAATCCTAGCATTCTGCTAGGCTGAGGCAGGAGGATCGCTTGAGGTCAGGAGTTTGAGACCAGTCTAAGCAAAGAGGAGACCCCATCTGTACTAAAAATAGAAAAAAATTAGCCGGGCAACTAAAAATAAAAAAAAAAAAACTAAAAAATTAGCCGGATGTGGTGGTGCGTGCCTATAGTCCCAGCTACTCAGAAAGCTGAGGCAGGAGGATCACTTGAGAATATTATTATGGGGGCATCTTTGTGTGGGACTCTTACAAAGTAGATTAAAATTGTAGAGAGTAATTGAATAGTCATTTTAATTTACTTACACGATAAATATACCACAGTAGGAAAAATATGAAAATGTAGAACAGTCAGCACAGTAATCATTTCTCACATAACCATTCATTATAATCCTTATGTGAGAGTATGTAACTTGCTCTGATAAGTTTAAGCAAAATGATGTGGATGCTGTCTTCTAACATAGACTCGTTGATATGCTTTAAATGTGAAATATAATGTCATTTCCCCCTTTTTACATTTTCAGGTGACTGTAATCAATGATAGACTGAAGACAGATAAACATAAATCTTATTCATGCTCATTTAAGGACTGTACTGAAAGAGAACTTGTGGCAGTTATGTGTCCTTATTGTGAGAAAAACTTCTGCCTAAGGTGATCACTTAAACCATTCATGCTTTGTGTATCTGTCCAGTTACATACAAATGCATGAACCAGTGTCACTCTTCTCTTGCTCGTAGACACCGTCATCAATCCGATCATGAGTGTGAAAAACTAGAAATCCCAAAGCCTCGAATGGCTGCCACTCAGAAACTTGTTAAAGACATTATTGGTAAGTATTTAGAAAGCTTATTTTGTTGCTTTCCTTATTACTGTATACTCTTAGTTCCAGAGGTCCTGCTTCTTGTGTCCTGCTTCTTACCAGTTAACAGCCTTGATGGTCATAACTTGCATTTTGATGACATTCTTGTGACATTATTTCTCACAAGGTCTGCCGGACCAATGAAAATTTGGAAATTGTTTGGAAGTACCCCCACCAGGGTCTCTTTGGCTGGGTCACTTAGATCAGCTAGTTAACCATTGTGACTAGAAATGGTATTCATGAGATTGAAATACCCAATTGCTTTCTCTAATGATTAAACTCTAGTCAGCTTTCCTACTGATAATATGAGATACTAGGAAAGAATGTATCTGTGACTTAGATCAATCTCTCGGCCAATATGTTAATTCATAATTTTCATCCTGTATAAAGGATAGTTTCTTTATTGAAATCCTCTATAACCAAATCTTAAGGTTCTCTGTAGAAGCATTCGTGGCTGCTTTAGTTTAAACAGGCTTAAGTTGGAAAGAAGCACGCAACAGTGAATTTTTTGATGTAGAGATTGCTTAGATCAACCTCAATGATATTTTCCATTGGTCATATAAATATGATACCTATACAATGAATGTGGTCTCTCTGTTGGTTTCTAATGTGGTTTCTATTGTGTGTAATTTGTGTATGTTTCAGGGCCATAGTTAATAAATACTTTATAATAAAACTCCCAAAAATGCAATGTAAAAGTTGTTATGTGCTTACATGCTTACACTTAATCTCTTAGATTCCAAGACAGGAGAGACAACAAATAAACGACGGAAAGGAGCCAAAAATAGTGAAACAGCTGCAAAGGTTGCATTGATGAAATTAAAGATGCATGCTGATGGGGATAAGTCATTGCCTCAGGTTGGTCCTAGAGATTTTTAAAAACAAAAAAATACCAAATATAGTTGAAGGCCTCTTTTTTTTCTCCCTCCCATCAATTAACAACTAACCTGAACCTGATATGTATCATTCCTAATATTACATGGTGTATGTCTGCAAAAATAATACATAGTTTTTTGAGTTTTTTCCCTTTATGAGGAACATTAGAGGCTGGGAGCGGTGGCTCACACCTGTAATCCTAGCACTTTGGGAGGCTGAGGCGGGAGGATCTACTTGAGACCAGGAGTTCAAGACCAGCCTGGGCAACATAGTGAGACCCTGTCTCTACACAGGAAAAAAAAAATTAAAAAAATAAAAAGGCAGTGAACCTTATGTACCCTTCTTCAACTTGTTTTTTTTCCCCACTTGGCATCATGTTTTTAACATTTATCCATGCTGAAACATTCAATCTAGTTCATTTTGACGGCTGTACATTATTCCATAGTATAAATATATCTGTATTCAGATTTTTCCAATTTTTTGCTATTATAAACAATTCTACAGTGAACATCCTTGTGTATGTACAGAAGAGTTTCCCTAGGACTGTACCTTTAAAGCTTCACAGTGTCAATTATTTTCTCTAACAACCCAGTATGTGTGTACATACATGCATACCTTAACACAGTTTCATTAAGTGATACTCAGCCTTAATGTGTCTTATATACTTTTGTTTTTTTATTCTATTTTATTTTATTTTATTTTAAAGGATGTTGGTCAGAACCTACCAGGTTGATTTTCCAACCCCTGATGGATTAGAACCACCAGATTAAAAGATGCTACTTTAGCGAATATACCTAGAAATAGAAAAACTGTGTTATGGGATTTGCTCATCTTCAGCTTTATTAGATATTGTCAATTTATTATTGCCAGGGTTGTACTGATTTGTCTCTTTCAGTGCTTTCAATTATATCTATTCTTGGCCATTTATCCTTTCATAAAAATTTTAGTATCACTTTGTCCTGTTCTGTGAAATTGTGATTTTGATAGGGATTGCGCTGAACTTTATATTAGAGACAGTTGACATCTTTAGAATTTTGACTCTTCCCATCTGTGTCTGTGGTTTGTCTTTCTAACTTTTCTTTAGGTCTTCTTTTATACGTAATTATAGAAGTAATATTCCGTAATGCTTATCGTAAATATCTATGTACCTTTTCTTAGATTTATTCTTAGAGTCTTTATAATTTTTGCTGTCATTGTAAATAATACCTTTTTTAAAAACTAAATTTCCCTAATTGGTTATTGCTGGTTGGTGCATGTTGCCCTTCTGTCTAGCAAATAAATTCCTAATAGTTCCCATACTTTGTAGATTTTCTGGGATGTTTTCTGTGCTGTCGTATCTTCAGCAAATGCCGTTTTTTGTGGGGTTTTTTCCCCCCAGTTTTCTTTTCTCTTACTCCTTCTTTTCATTGTCATTTGTCTTAACGGCTGAGATCTTCAGAATAATGTTGGATAATATGGGTAATAGCAGGCATCATCATCATGTTTCAGACTTTGATGAAAATGCTTCTAAAGTTTCGTCAAGTATTATATTTGCAGTAGATTTTTGATAGTAGCCTTTACAGGAGAACAGTATTCCTTTCTATTCCTAATTTGCTAAGAATTGATACCATGAATGGATATTAAACTTTACTATAAGTGTTTTTCTTACATCTAGAAAGATCTTTTGTTTTTTCCTTATCAATGTGATAACTTATATTGATTGATTTTTCTGTTAAGTCACCAAATATTCCAGGATAAACCACTTGATTGGTATATAATTCTTTTAAAACATACTGCTAAATTGATGTGCTAATATATTATTTAGTGTTTTTTAGTGACATTACTAGCAAGATTGTACTCAAATTGAGTGGCTTTTTCCTGGTCTTTGAGATATTTGTCAAGGGTGGGGATTATTTGTTATTGAAGGTTCGGTAACACTCTCATGACCTTTGGATCTGTTTTCTTTTCTTTTTTTTTTAATTTTTTTATTTTCCTTTGTGATTTATTCCATTGCTTAGGGATTTACTTTTTTAATTTTTTTTTATTTCAGGATATTACAGGGGTACAAATGTTTAGGTTACGTATATTGTCCTTGCCCCACTTGAGTCAGAGCTTCAAGTGTGTCCATCCCCCAGATGGTGCGCACCGCACCCATTATGTGTGAATATACCCATCCCCTCCTCCCCCCTCCCACCTGCCTAACACCTGATGAATGTTATTACTATATATGCACTTAAAGCGTTGATCAGTTAATACCAATTTGATGGTGAGTACGTGTGGTGCTTGTTTTTTCATTCTTGGGATGCTTCAAATGGGTTCCAAACACATCTGCACTTGAATATTTATAGCAGCATAATTCACAATTGCAAAGATGTGGAAACAACCCAAGTGCCCATCAATACATGAGTGGATTAGTAAAATGTGGTATATGTATATGTATATATATATGTATGGAGTTCTATTCAGCCACAAAAAACAATGGTGATATAGCACCTCCTGTATTATCCTGGATAGAGCTGTTTTCTTTTTTTTGAGGGGAGAATTTTGAATACTATTCCAATGTGTTAAATCTTAGTTTATCTGGGTAATATATTTCTTCTGAAGTCAATTCTGGTAAATAGTATTTTTCTAAAAAATTCCTATTTGATGTAGATTTTTCAATTTATTGTTATAAAGTTGTTCAAGTTTTTCTTTCGTGATTCAAAATCTCTGTTGTGTCTTTAGTCATTCCACTTCATTCTTAATATTTTTTATTGGTACTTTTCTTTCTTTCCTCCTTAAACAGAGTAGCTAAAGGTTTATCTTTATTTTTTCTTAGTCTTTTCAAAGAACCATGTTTTAGTTTTATTGAACTCTATTTCTTTGCCGTTTCACTGATTTCTGCTCTTATATTATCTCAAACACACACAAGTTGCAACCATAGTGCAAAGAACTTTTCCATATCCTTTACCCAAATGCACCAATTATTTACATTTTGCCCTGTTTGCTTTATCATTTGTATCATCTTTCTATCCATATATATGCACATATGTATGTGTGTGTACACTTACTAATTTTTGGTCTACTTGATGTATCAGTCTCGCAGATGTGTTAAAATTTCCCACTATGGGCCAGGCACGGTGGCTCACATCTGTCATCCTAGCACTTTGGGAGGCCAAGACAGGAGGATCGCTTGAGGTCAGGAATTCCTGACCAGCCTGAGCAAGAGCAACACCCTATCTCTACAAAAAAATAGAAAAATTAACCAGATGTGGTGGTGTGCACCTGTAGTCCCAGCTACTCAGGTGGCTGAGGCAGGAGAATCGCCTGAGCCCAGGAGTTTGAGGTTGCTGTGAGCTATGATGGTGACACTGCACTCTTGCCAGGACGACAAAGTGAGACTCTGTCTCCACAAAAAAAAAGGAAAAACTCCCACTATGGATGTGGTTTTATTAGCTTTTTTTTTCTGGTAATAATAATGATTTTGCTGAGTTGTATATTATCAGGTGCATAGAATTTCTTCATCGTTATATCTTTTTTATAAATTTTGCTTTTAATCCTATTTTGAATTATATTGTTTTATTAGCTTTCTTCTGGTAAACATTTAACTATTATATCTTTTTTTCATCCCTTTTATTCAATTTTTATATGTGTTTTGTTTTAGGGTGTCTCTTATAAGCCACATATAGCTGGACTTTGTTTTTTTAATCCAGTTTGATAGTATCTCTCTTTTATAGGTGAGTCAAATCCTTTCATATTTATTGTGATAACTGGTATATTTGAACGTATTTCTTCCATCTTATGTTTTCTGCTCATCATCCTTTCCCTTCGAATCTTTCTTTCTCTTTGCTGTCATCTTTTGCATTGCTTGAATTTATTCTGCTGGTTTACAAACCATTGATGATAGTTTTTTTATTTTGATGTTTATCCTTAATATTTTCCTTTTTTGAAATTTTATTTATTGGAAATTTTTAAAATAGCAAAGATAGTACCTGCTTTTAACAAGTGTAACCATTAAGAGATGTATATAGGAAAAAAACAAACACACCCTCCTATGTCCTTCATCCATTTCCATCCCCCTAAAACATTGGTTCTCAGTTGAAGGTGATTTTGTCCCTTAGGAGACATTTGGCAATGTCTGGAGACATTTTTGGTTGTTACAGTTGAGGATGGGGTGCTACTGGTATCTGGTGGGTAGAGGCCAGAGATGCTGTTAAACATCCTACAGTGTACAGGACATGGCCCACAACAGAGTTTTCTGGTTTAAAATGTTAACACTGACAAAGTTGAGAGGACTTGCTCTGAAGTACCCAATAATATAATTCACATTATTTTGTAATTTTTTGTCACTTAAAATGTAATGAAAACATCTATAGCACTTACTTTGTTCCAGGCACTCTTCTAACATGTTTCATCCTTCAGCTAGCTTATGAAGTATGCACTCTTAACTCTTACCCCAAAAGGCGAAGTAGCTTGCTAGTAACATAGATACTGAGTGGAGAACTGTGAATTGAAACCAGTCAGGCTTCAGAGACAGTGTTCTTCACACATGTAATAATACTTCATAGAACACTCCACAAGTTTTTACGCCTAAGTTTTTCTCCTTACCATAAATGTTTGTGTGTGTGTATTTGGAGATATAGATATAAAAGAGATATATGTATGTGTGTGTCTATTCATACATGCTTTCATATATAATATACATATAAACACATGTACACACATATCTGCATATATACGTGCACACATCCATGTATCTGTGTATACGTGTGTACATGTGTATAACTTTAAATAAATGGATATGTATTCTACTTGTATTAATATATGTATGAAAGGCATAAGGAGTGTCTTTCAGTCATCATTTTGTAAAATTGCATCATCCATTTAGTCCACACATGTTTTTTTGAATACTTTTTATATACCAGGAGCTGGGGATACAGCAGTGAATGATACAGAGTCCCTGATCTTAAGGAGTTTACATTCCATTGGGGTGAGACATCTATAAAATATATAACATGTCATAT